GCGCTTCTAGTATATTTAGACCCAGTACTGGTTCGCGATAAATCTCTTTTGCATGCAAGCAATTGGCGTATTTAACATGGCGATGTCCTAGGAAGTGTCAATTGCCCCCGCTGCATCCCTTTTTCGATAGTTCCGAACTAGTCCTAAATTCTATAGTTCCGAACCAGTTATAAAATCGACAGACGAAAGAAAAAAGTATCATGATTTTTCAATCTTTTTGGTTCTTCCCTGTGTGCGATTTTAAGTTATTTTGGAAGAAATGTGTTTTCAATTTGAAATTAAATTTGTTTGAATGATTGTAAGAAATGTACGTTTACATACCTTTAGCTGTAGCTGAGTTTACGGAGGTGCTCGCTGTTATTTCTTAGATTCCAGACGGTCCCAAGAGGTTGAAATGTTAACACAAAATTTAGTTTTGTATTACCAAGCTATGAAAAAGCATCTGCGAAGCACAAAATAGAAGCGTATTTGAACGAAAAAGCCGCCGAACACATATCTATGTAAAGTAAACAAGCCCCCCGCTGCATCCCTTATTCGATATTTCCGAACTAGTTCTAAATTCGACAAATAAGATCTAGTTCGTTCTGCATCCCGTTTTCTATAGTTCCGAACCATTTCTAAATTCGTCACTTTAGATATAGATTTCTAGTGAAAAAAACTGAAAAAATTAGTTTTTAAAAGTACCACTTTTCGCCGATTTTGGCCTGGTGGGGATCTAGTTCCTATCGGTCTAGTTCCTTTTTGACGATAAAGATCTAGTACGGAACTACAAATTTGGTTCACCAGTTCGGGGTTTCCCTGCAGGGTTAATTTGACTGCAGCTAACGGTTCTTCTATTAAAACTTATGCTACAAAACTTTTAAAAATTTATCTAAGTTTAAGGCGTGATCTTGAATTCCTTTTCATATTAGCGGATATTTCAACACCAATCATAGGCGCTAACTTTTTAAAGAAATTTGGTAAATTAGTTGATATTAAACATAGATAAATTACTGATTCAACAACAGAATTGAAAGTTTCTGGATCATCTGTTTTTTGCGATATATTTTCAATAACGATACCAATTACTGAAAATAAATTTTCTAAACTTTTAAATGATTTTCCTTCAATTACTTGTGAACCAGATTACACTAAACAAGTGCAACACCAAACGGTTCACAGAGTTGAAACAAAAGGAGTGCTACCTTTCTCTAAACCACGTCACTTGTCCCAATTAAAGTCAAAATAGCAAAAACAGAATTTGAATTTTTAGTTAAAACGGGTATATGTAGACCTTCACACTCTCACATTGCATCTCATTTACATCTAGTTCCTAAAAAAGGTCCAAATGATTGGAGACCTTGTGGAGATTATAGAAGACTTAATTGCATTACTATTCCAGATCGTTATCCGTTACCTCACATTCATGATTTGACTATTGATTTAAAAAATAAACAAATTGTTTCCAAAATTGATCTTGTTCGTGCGTATCATCAAATACCAGTGGTTGAAGAAGATATACATAACACAGCAATTACTACACCGTTTGGAATGTTTGAGTTCGTACGGATGGCTTTTGGACTACGAAATAGTGCACAAACATTTCAACGTTTTATTAATGAAGTATTTTCAGGTTTAGAATTTGTGTTTGTCTATATTGACGATATTCTTGTTGCAAGTGATAATGAAGATCAACATATTGAGCATTTAAAATCTGTATTTGAAAGACTTGAAAAATATAGTTTGAATATTAAACCTAGTAAATGCATTTTTGGAGCAAATAAATTAGATTTTCTAAGATATGAGATTTCAAGAGAAGGAATCAGACCTTCTGTCGAACGAGTTGAAGCAATAGTAAATTTTGAAACACCACTTTCAATAAATAAATTACAAAAATTTTTGGGCATGGTTAATTATTACCACAGATATGTTAAAATGTTAGCAGCAGAACTTAGTCCTCTGCACGAAATGTCAACATTAGCAACTAAAAATAAACTTAAACAATTAAATTAGACAGAAAATATAACTAGGGCTTTTGAAAATGTGAAGAAACTTTTACACAGAAGATTTTACTCACTCATTTTGATAAAAAGGTAAATTATCACTTGCTGTCGATGCATCGAATGTAGCAGTCGGTGCAGTTTTACAACAAATGAGTAATAACACTTTGGCACCACTTGCATATTTTTCAAGAAAAATATCTTCTACAGAAATTAATTACTCTATATTTGATAGAGAACTTTTAGCGATATAAAATTCAATTAAACATATTAAACATTTTCTAGAAGGTAGAACATTCACTGTTTACACTGATCATAACGAGCCCTAACCGCCAAAATAACGTAAGCGACATTTTTTTTCAAAATTTCCTTTTTGATGCAGAAATGCACCTAGATGCTCTAGGAATGTTTCTGCATCAAAAAGAAAATTTCGAAAAAAATGTCGCTTACGTTATTTTGGCGGTTAGGGCTCGATAAACCTTTAACACATATTCTAAACTCTAAATCAGACTGATCACCTCGACACTTAGAGTACATTGCACAATTTACAGACGACATTACATTTCTGATAAAGAAAACATAGTTGCTGATACCCTTTCACGTATTCCAGATGTTAACACGATTTTAGCCCAAGACATAAAATTTCAAACATTATTCGAGGAACAACAAAAAGATCAAACACTTTATGACATAATATCTGACCAAAATTCCAACAGTAATTTAAAAGAAATTAATATTCCAGTACTTAATCTTAATATTTGGTGTGATATTTCTAAATAACCTTTTAGACCATTTGTTCCGAATTCTATGAGAAAAATCATTTTTGATAAAATTCATTTATTATCACATCCAAGTGTCAAAAATCTAAAATTTTTAAACATACTAAGACGCCTGTGGAAAAAATTGGCATTCCATCTGGACGATTTGAACATATTCATATGGATCTTGTTGGTACATTACCTTTGTAAAAAGAAAATCGCTACATTTTTACATTGATAGACATATACGTTGGCCAGAAGCATATCCACTTAAGGGTATTTCAGCAAATTCCATAGCAACAACATTTGTTCAAAATTACGTTCTAGTTTTGGCATTCCTCTTTATATAACAGTAGATCAAGGATCACAATTTACATCAAAATTGTTTACAGAATTAACTAAATTGTTAGGAGCACACAAAATTCATACGTCTCCATATCATCCCCAATCAAACGGGATGATTGAAAGATTTCATAGGACATTAAAAACTGCTATTACTGCTTCGGAGCATTCTACCCACTGGTCTGAAATTCTTCCGTGGATATTATTAGCATTACGTACGTCTGTTAAAGAAGATTTAAAATGCTCTTCTGTAGAATTAGTTTATTGACAGACATTAAGATTATCGGGTGAATTAGTTGTTGCGAACAGTTATAATAATGAAGTTGATAATACAGATGAAACTCTTTCTAAGCTAAGAAAATATTTTTCAAATGTTAGATCAAAGGTTGTTCATCACAATAAAGAATACTCTTTTGTTCCTAAAAGTGTGGATACATGTGAGTACGTTTTTCTTAAAGTTATTCAGAAGTCAAATTTGCAATCACCTTATGAAGGACCATTTAAAATTATTTCCAAAATTGACAAAGTATTCAAAATTCAACATGGAAATATGATTAAAACGGTTTCAATAGATTTACTCAAACCTGCAAATATAATTTCTGATACAACAAAAAAATACAAAACAGAAAATAACATTTAACATTAATTAATTCATTGTTTTACTGGAGGGGGAGTATATGTAGGCTATTTTACTTGTATGTTTTTATCAGGGACGTGAACCGGATGAAAAATTTGGTCGGTTCGGTTCAGCGGCTCGAACCGTTGTTGCACTTTTGGATTGCTTCGTCAAAGCGTTTTTTTTTATCTTTGAACCGGGGTTTCGGTTCGGTTCAACGGTTCGAGAAACAAAAAAATAACGCGCAAGTTTAAGTGTCAAGTGTCAAGTGTAGCAATGCGCAAGGTTAAGGGTCAAGTATCTGTCAAATGAGATAGGTTGCCTTTACATTTGATATTGTCACAAGGTAAACAAACATGATTGGTATTACCATGTTTAACAAAAAGAAAAAAAAATATATCTATTGAAAATTGGTTGAAACGAACCTTTAAACCTTTATAGAAAGTGGTTCGGTTTTCGGTTCGGATCAAACATTTGTGGAAAATTTCGGTTCGGTTAATGGTTCAGTTAATTAATAGAAAAAAGCGGTTTTCCGGTTCAAAACCGTATACTTGTTTAAATTCTTGATTTTCAGTTTATGGTTCTATGAATTTGTTTGTTGTTAAAAATGAAATTTTTGATAATTAATAAACCAGCTTTCAAACAAGAAAGAAAATAATTTTTTAAATTGAATAATATATCATACGATATACTCGGTAACCACTTGATCGATTTGTATCTGACTAGGTTCAATTATGTCATTAAGTCTAACTCTGCATATTATCGGAAACGTTTGAAATCGGGTAAACATCCCTGCTTATCATGCAAAGGTAGTTCAGGGAAAGTTGAGACGACGATATTTGATACCTGCACCGGGTATATAAAGTTCGGTTTCGCCCGAACCTATACTTCTTTACTTGTTTTCTTTTTAAATTTGAACTCACCTGCATCCGGCCAACAAACATTGACGATAAATTTCCACCGATGATTTGCCTGTCAGTTGATGCCCTATTAAATATGTGTTGTGGGAAGAGTTTACAAAATAATGCGATAAAGGCTGGTCCATGTCGTCACATAAGTCAAATTTGCTAGGCGCCACAATGGGATTGTCGTCTGACATTAAGTACCTGGAAAATTAGAATAAAACAGTGTGAACTAAGTACAAAGTTTAAGAAAAGTTTTAATTTATGTATGAAGACGTATCCTATGTGGTGAATTTTTTATATAATAATACTAATACGAGTAATAGTAATACAAGTAATAGTAATAACTAATGAACCCGCAGGGTCTTAAAACGCCATAATTTCAATTAGCTTCCTAAACAGGGGCCAACCCTATTAAAAAACCTAAACGGTGCTACAAACAAAAAATCACGAAATACACCAAAAAAAATACTTAGTGTAGGTTGTACTTATCTCTTAACAGCTTGACTATTTTTCATCCGAATTTAAAGATCAAAAAAACTAAATATTTTTTTTATTTTCACTTTTATTTCAACATAGATTGACTAAAAGAAAAATACTGAAAATTTTGAAATTCCTGCACTTATTTCGTTTGTAAAGCATTGTGCTACTATGATAACATGGCCGCACCAAATTTTGACAAAGTTTTAAAGTATTATTTTTGTTTTTATTTAATTTTGGTTAGTTTTTTATAGTTCATTCTTTACCAACATCCGTATAAATACAAGTTTAAGGGCAGTGTCACACGATTAGGAACTAGCCGGAAATTGGTGCAAATCGTATCCCACTTGTGTGAATACCCAAATATTTTTCTTCGCCAATCATGAAAAATAATTAGTTGACATTTTTCAATACACTGTGCGCCGCCTCAGAACAGCGAATAGATTTTGTGAGAAGCGTTTTCAAGGCAGAAGTACAAACGGAGATTTGCTATTGCCTGCCGAGGGGCGACTGCTGTTAAGAAAAACAACCTTTTTTCTATATTTTTTTTGCGATGTTGCTTTGACCAGGGCTTGAACCCAGGCCCTGCGAGTGGTACCTCGCACTGCTAATCACTACACTTGGATTCAACATTTCGTATGAATGATTTTTATCTGAAGATTTTTTTTTTTTGATGTTTAATAATATTTGTGTTTTCGTATTCTCCAGCAAAAAATATCCAATAACTTGCCAGTAACCAAATTTGGGATAGTAAGCCAATATTTACTACCAATGAGAGAAATATGCAAGAAAGTACGAAAACGTAAAACCAGCAAGAAGTTGCAAGTTTTATGGACAGCTGATTAATTTGTTATTTTCCGACGCAGATTTTTAAGAAAAATAGTATTTCCCATCTTAATATATATTAATATAAGTTTATTTTGTTAATTGCAAGTCTAAAAGCACCACACACAATTCTTTTGGTAATGTGAATTGCATTAAGCATAGGGCTGCCAGACGTCCCGGTTTTCCCGGACACATCCCTGTTTCAGACTATTTGTCCCGGTGTCCCGGTCCAACCTTAAAATGTCCCGGGTTTCGTTTAAGTGTCCCGGTTTTCGACTTATATGCACAAATTTAATAAGAGTTCAAGGGTCACTACCGGTGTCATTTGTGATATAGTTACATCTCCAGATAGTTGGACTTTGCACAAGCAATATTTGATGATCGATATATCCACATACATACCTGTAAGTACAAAGTGACTTTCCTAATTAGCATCAGCTGTTTTTTATTTGTTTTGCTCGTTTGTTTTTCGGGTGGGTTTTAATTCCAACGTAAGTTTTCGCGACAAAGTTTATAGAATATAAAAATGTGTGTTTATAGTGTTTTGATTACCCTTAGAAAATGCCAAAGAGAACGTATAAATTCCTTTCCGCTTACACAGAAGAGTGCGTCATTTGTTTATATTTTTTGAAGTTAAAAGAGAGCCTCCCTGAGTTGTCAACCACGCCTTGTTTAATACACCTAATGTGGATCAATGTTTTTTTCTTATTTCATCTCAATAGACTAAGGAAAGAAATTTGCTCAATATAAGTACATATGTGCGTTTAATGGCGTGCACAGAGTTTTAAAATTATATTAAGGAAAAGTCAGAAGTTTTGAAACAAGTTCACAACAACGAAAAATATGACTGATTTTTTAATGTTATCTTGTACTTAAATTTTTTTTTCATTAAACCTAGTGTACTTATAAGTACAGTGCCGTACAAAATTATTGGCTCAGAGAATTTTTTATCAGATCTTTTAGAAAAATGTTGAAAATGTAGCAGTTTCTTTCATACAAAAAGAATTGTCGAACATAGTTTGTATGGAAGAAGCTGTCAGCAAAAAATTATCAAAAATGAACTAAAACACAAAGTCTAGAAATTCTGTTTTTGTTTTTTTGATGTAGCATATACGGTATATGTGTTTATATAAAATTAAAGCAAAAAGATTATGAATGCATTGTGCCAATAATTTTGGGCGGCACTATATGTTTATTTTGAACTTTAGTACGTTGAAATGATCTCATCTTTTTATGGTTTTGTTTTTGTCTTGCCAAAATAAAATTTTGCTACATACATTCGTACGTAAGTAATTTTTATCTACAGGGAAGGAAAGGGAGGGGCCGTTGTGGTGTTAGATTTTCCAAAGTGTCCCGGTTTGCCAACGGAGATATCTGGCAGCCCTAATTAAGCATCAAGCCATCAGCTGTTTTTTCTTACTAGCAAATAGCTACTAGTAAAAATTTATCCAGTAAAATGCCAGTAAAACTTGCAAGTTCAACTGTAATTTTTTTCTCTCTCAATTCTCTCGTACGAAAACGCCATCCAGTAAAAACCAATAAAACTAGTACGCAAACAGGGCTAATATTTTATGATGAGGTCCACTATTGTCGTGAATTATAATGTGATAATAATAATAATCCCAACGGTGTTTACCCTCCATTCCCGCCCATCCGCACGAGGGGCGCAGTCCGCATGACGTACGGAACCAGTATTTTCAATTTTTGCGCCGAGCCACGATAGGCAGGAGTTTGTTAAGTGTCGAGATCTAAAACTGTTCAGCCACAGAACTAAATTCATCAGCTGGTTTTATGTCTTTATGTTAATAATTCATTTATTGAGAGAGGAGAGTACCGCTTTCTTAATACTGAAAAGCGGATCTTATATAACAAACGTGCTGGAATGAGAGTTAAAATCTTGACATTAGCGACGAAGTGGGTCGTGCAATTCAAAATTAGTTTTACAAGCTTTCAGAAATAGGGGAAAAATTGTCTTGATACCCGGGAGGGAACATTAAGGCTAACTTCACCCAGAAGAAGCGGACTTGAAATTGAGCCTGTCAGTAATTTAACTATAAAAATTGTACCAAGTATTTGCCTGCGACTGGCAAGTGTAGGAATATTAATAAGTTTTAATCGGCTCGTATAAGGCGGAAGGTTATATTGAGAATCCGAACGGAAATTTCTTAAAGCAAAACGTAGGAATTGCTTTTGAACTGATTCTATCTTGTCTGAGTAAATTTGATACCTTGGATTCCAAACAACCGAACCATATTCCAGAATCGGTCAAACTAATGTTGTAAAAAGGGTTTTAGTGATATAAGTGTCACAAAATTCTTTTGACCATGACTTTGATCTTTGATGTATTAAGCATATGCTCAATGGTTAGGTAACAAAAAAAAAACTTATTGAAAATATGAATTTTTTATAAGGCAAAACTTAGTTACTAACTAATTAATAAATGTTTTTAAAACTTAGTTGTCGACTTGTATAAACTGTGTTCTAATAACCTGATATTTGGGAGCCTACCTACGAAATTTCAGCGAAATCCGACAATAGTTGATGAAAATATACCTATTTTTATTATAAAGATGCATTTAAAATCTGTAGTTTCCGGAAAACAAACAACAGCATTGAGCGACCTCTAAATCTTGTTCAAATAAGCTGAAATTTTAGAAGGAACCTGTCTTCCCTATTATCTTCAAGAATCCGAACGTTCTCAGGCGAAATTCATAAAAGTTCCAATTTTGAATCACCCTAATGTACAAGATAAATAAAATCAATCGCAGTCATGCAGAAATATGGAGCGTGGCACCTACCATACAAGCCGAATTTCATACTGCATATCTCTGGAAGTGTTCATGGTAGAGTACTGGAACACTTCGTATGGAGACTGACTTTTACCACAGAATAAATAGTATACAGAAGACGCATGTCGACTATCGAACCAATTTGAATTTATGGCACGAGCGGTGAGGCAAGGGTATCACAAGCGGCGCTGCCTCTGTTACTTTAGCAGTATTTTCCAGGGTTCGGAAATTCTCACTCACATTCTCTCACGTTCGCGATCGATAATATTCCAAGTCTATTTTTGCATTCTTTTATCGCGAGTGAAAAATGCAAACAAATTTATCATCTCTCACATTCGGAATGCGATCGACAAAAAAATTTTCGCTGCTTTTCATTCGCGATCGAAAAAAGCAAAGAAATTTCCTCTCACTCGAATATGAGAAGTCCGAGCATTGCCGATGTCGGCCTCTCATAAATAAGAAAAACGATGCAAATAATCCATTCGCGATCACTCACAACAGCTTATCGCGATAAACTTTTCGCGAAAAATTTTCAACGACGTTGTATGGGAGATATTTTTCGCGTTTGTTTTGGGTATGCATTTTGTTATGCATACAGCGTACATACATATGTACATATGTATATGTAAGTAATGCAAGCAAATGCTTTTCGGTTGGAAGGAATGTGGGAATATGCACAAATATATGAATTATGGTGGAAACATATATGTATGTATCTACATATACATAAATTACGTACATGCATACGTGTAGTTAAAGTATATTCCAAGCGTACACTTTTCAGTATAATGGTGTATCTGCATGTTATTTTATTATAATGATTGCGTTTATTTTTAACCGACTTCCAAAAAAGGAGGAGGTTATCAGTTCGTCGGAATCTTGTTTTTTTTTTTT